ATGGAGTTCAGCGTTATCAATGCCAATCAAAAGATCGACAAGTCCATCATTTGCCGCCTTAGGAAAATTGTACTGGGTCAGATACAGCCATTTATTCTGATGGTCGTTCCAGTTCAAAACTCTGTAATTGCCAATAACTTTCTGCGGACACGTTTTTGCGCACCTGCCATCTGAACTTTCGACTTCAATTTTTATTCGCATGGACTGAAATGTTTCGACGGTGTCATTCAGCACATAAACTTGAACTTTTCCGAATGGCTCTTGCAGTCCCAATATCCCAGCAACCGCTTCGTTTTGGAAAGTTTTGTTCGATGTTCGATGCATCGTCTTGGATTACTTTTCTTCTATTAGACTTCATCCACATAAGGACAGTTCATAACAAATAAGACTAAGTGGGCGTTTCTGCATTACAGCTGGTCAGGGTCACAGCAGGCGCCCCCTCCCGTGGAACATCTGGGCGGTTCCCATCGTCAGCATGAGGCAACATTGTCATTGGTCCGGTTTCTGACAAAACTTCACTTCCATGAAGAAGGCAGTAGTGATTTCGCGAACAACTATCTATTCCATACGTGCGGGCCCTCGGGCAATCTTTCCCCCCATGATCAGGCTAGGCAACGAAATCACAACTGTTTTTCTTTAGCGATCTTCCAGCGGTCATTCACTCCTGTGTCATAAAACTCCTTGCAAAACCACACCCCGTGATCGAAACTCTGGCAGAGAGAACATGGAAGCTTCGTACTATTTGGCTCTTTCCCTATTGCAGCAGTTTGAAAATTTCGCATCCTGCTCTGTTCCTGGTAACTCGGTACTCTCGGTACTCTCGGTGGTCTAACGTGCTCGACAGGTTTCGGTTCAATTCCCATTCGCCATTTCCGCTGCTTCTATTTGGAATCTGACTTCGTCTTTCAACCAGTCTCTGAAGCTATGACTGAATTTTGTCTGGCGCGTTCGTTCAACCAGCGACTGTAATTTTCCAGCTGGCGATCAGGCAACTTTTTCACCAGCAAGCTTTGAAGAGTTCCATCTTCTAACTCTCCGTCTCTTCTTTCGGACGGAGGAAAAGACATCTAGATTTCGGCCTGTAACTTTACCACTGTAACAAACTTCTCTGATGCGCGAATGTCGTTGCTTCTTATTAACGGCGCCTGTTCTAGTTGATCTAAGTAGGCTCGCAGAACCCGGCGCGTACCTCCATACTTCGTTTTTAATATCTCTTTGGCCTCCTCGCATTCTTGGGCGGTGACTCCGAGACCACGGATGGCTTTCCAGGCGTTCCCTATGAGGCATTGGTGCAGCCTTGCCATCTTCAAATTTACTGGCTCCGTTGACTCGGCCACTAGACTTGTAAAGAGGACCCAAAAATCTTCAAACTTTCTTTTGTCACCATTGAATGTCGGAACTTTTAACGGCTTCAAATATCGGTTTTGGTCATTGTGGCTGTGGTGACTCTCGTTTAGCTTATCTTCTCGGGCCGATTGCTCGTAGCGATCCGTCGCGCTCTCATTTAATGACGTGTTCATATTCATGACTTTGCACGCGCGGACTTTGATCGCATTTTGTCCCGCTTCGATCAATCTTTGTAGGTCTTTTTGGATGGTTTCTGACTTTTTAAAAGCTTCTTCTTTCCCAGTGTCTTCTTCGACTTCGACATAGAGGGCGGACAGTTCCCCTAAAATTTCTTGTGCGTCTTCAAGGGCTACCCACAACTGCTCAATCATACTTTCTATGTCCGTTACTTCGGAATCCTTCACCCATAGTCTTTCTAACTCGTGTCTGAGTTTTGTTACTTTTGTCTTAGCGGAGCGTTTTCTTCTTTTAATCTGAATTAACAGAACGTCGTTTTGCTTCTGTTTGTCGACTCAATTCGCAATTTCGTCATTTTTCTCGGTAACATCACTGTCGTCGGATTCGGCAGCCATAGTGCACAACTCAAAACTCAAAAACTCAAATCGCAAACGAAACCTCAAACAAACACCAGGTCATACCTTTCTCCCATCGTGGTCGCCAGAAATGTTCGGAAGCGATGACGAAAATCTCCTTTAAAAACAGGCACGTTTAATCGGTAAAAGGACGGTAAAACGGTAACGGCTTAAAATACTTACTCAAAAACAAAAGCCTCCAAAATGCGACTAAAACTGTAAAAAAAAAACCACGCGAGAAATCGTACGCGTAACTTGCTTACGAACTGGTCAGATTTAAATGTCTCAGCGCGCGCGCGCTAATCGCACGACTCGCCAGTCCGGTACTTTCTTCTTTACAGAAGGAATTCAATTTCAAAATAAAAATTTGAATTTACTTACAATTACTTTCCTCGCCGTTTACTTGATGGACAGAGGTAAATCTTGGTACATAAATTAATCGTCGATGAGAGTGAATAATTCTTTCCGTTAGATTATTGACTGCTTTTGAAGAAAACATTGTCGTGATAGTTCTTGCCAAACTAGTTTTGTTGTTTTTCAAATGTGTACATGCGCTTTTTTTTTCTTACGTGCTCTCTAATTGACAGGAGTCAGATTGTGATAGATGCTTGTAAAAGTAATGTTTCAAAGTTTGTTTGGAAGCCTTTCAAATAAACTTTATCATTACGCAAATGGAAATGTTTCGGTGAAGCATCTCCCTTTAATTTGCACAGACTGTCTCAAGTGGCATTGACTATTCACCGTGTACAAGAGAATATCAATAGTTTATAATCTCTTTCCGTGTATGATCAACAACACACTTACTAAATGGATGGAATGTAAATGAACAAGACAAACTCAGTGATGAAAAGCAAAATGAAATGCTTGGCGCAATCTAGTTAAGTTTTGTCGTTTGCAGGAATTTCGATGAAATCTATTGAAAAGATCTGAAACTATTTCATGAAATACCTAATCAAAATGAGCACAGGTGACTGATCAGCTTGTGTTTGAGCGAGAAATTTTGCTTCGGACGACATATCAAATTGTCTCTATCATTAGGGAAAGACATATTATATCGAATACTGATTCAAACGCACAATAAACATCTATTTGTATCGAGTCATGAGTAACAAACCTCTAATCGCGGATTCGTCTGAGAGAGTCCCAGCGAAGCAACAGCAAACGTCACCAAGCAGAAAGTTGATACACAGGGTACCCAAACTCACATTGGAGCGTGAATCACAGCTGCATATCAAAATTGCGAGGGTTCATGGGAACTTTCGGCATAGAGGAAATAAATACCACAACACCAATGGATGTTTTTTTATTCTGTGCTATATGACCTAAAGTAGTTTTAAAATTCAGAATCATTTTTTAAAGGAATTATCGTTTGTTATTAATCTTTACTGAAGCTTCTATTTCATCAGCTTTGCCGCGGGCGACAAAATAGTGACGAATCAGGGAGTTTATCCGCGTAGCTTCTATGTGCCAGTTAGTGGCGACATCTCCAGCTTAAATTAAATAATTTCTTTTCGTCAGCAGAGCACTACTAAGTAAATAAGCGGTGATATACGGCTTAATTACTCAAGATTGCGCGGTTTGCCGAAACATTTCAGCGCCAGCGCTCCGAGCACTTTCTGAGGGCTTATTGTCGTGTGTGTCAAGATTAAGATAGCGCTCGCTGACCACAGCTACAGGTCGTTCGATCAGCGATCTTGCCACAACATTTCCATTTTTTTTCGCAAATGACATGGCTTTTTCAGCGATTTCTTCGCATCACGGTTTCACTCGCTTGCTTTTTATAAATAAAAGAAGGAAATTATTCTGGCCAGTTTTATTCAAGTTGGTTTTAGAATAAATTTGAATGTGTATATTCTTGGATTTCCCACAAAACTTAACACGGTTTAGAATCCGTGAGAAGAAGTATTCCGCCAACATGATCAATCTGCTGGTAATTTCTTTTGTACAATAGATGCAAGAGCTACATGTACATGTATCCCGAGGGGCTGTAGCGTGACCAAAATCACAATTTTTCAAACTTCTGTTCTTTTAAAACAACTGCACGTGATATCTCAAGCCTGAGGTCGAATCACAATTCAATGAATTCAGTGAAGCGGCAAGAATAACGTTTTATGCGTGTTACTTGCACAATTTTTAAAAGAAACTTTTATGTCCCTACAGGTGTGTTTAGTGCAGCGCAGGACCTGAAGATGGAGTGGGTTGTCGTCCCTAATGAAATGAGTTTACTTTCCCTTGTCAACTTTGGCTAATTTTCATTACTGCACAGGTCCTGGGTATGAGTAACAGCCGAAACTCTTACGGCGTGACATAACGAAATTGTTCATCCAGCAGAGTAGCGAGCGATTTGTTCGTGATTTTTCCTCTGAGATTACAGGTTAGTTTCATACCTTTTTTATGTAAAGAGCGTTTTGATCGACATAATTTGTCAGCCACTTTTTCTTCAGATAGTGATGTCAAACTAGATTTTGCAATTGTTACGAGTCTTACAAAAAGTTGTATTTTCGAATGCCCAGTGAATAATGGTCATGAGTGACCCATTATAAATAACCGGAGAAAAACTTCTCAGCATTTACTGTAGGCATCAAAAGAGCAAGTTTTTAAATGCCTGATCAATCTCAGGTCTGAAACAGATAGTCATGCATCATTTCATCCTTATACTTATACGTTCATTACGCTTCGTACTGGAGACCTCCGTAACTCAATATTAATTAACTTCTTTTCAAATTTCCAGCGGTGATTTCTAGCTTAGTTGCATTCAGTACACTTCCGATCAGCTCTGTTACCGGCGTTATAACGCACTCGGGAAAACACGGCGATAAAGCACAGAGTGTACTTGTGCCCTCAAGAATATTGTTCATCAGCAGAGTTGAGAATTTAATTTTTTTGGGACGATAGGGAAAGAAATGCAAGTTACAGCAAACTATTTCCTCTTTCCCCAGAAAACAAAATTTACATCTTTGCTTTCAGTTTCCAACTGCAACTGGATTATCTTTCACATGAACTGTGACACGTTTTCTCTAGTATGGGGATTACCTATTAAGAATAATGTTGTGAATAAATATGTTAAGACAGGACTCGCTCATGGCCAGTGCTGCACCAACTGCTTTATCCACAAAGGAAACAACAAACTATGCCAGGTTGTGCCGTCTGCTGGTTGATATTGGAACCCAAGCTCTTCGAGATACGTTTGATGCCATCCATGCACCAGGAAATTTACACTCAGTTTTGGCGGCAAAGAAGCCCACCTTACAATCTCTTAGAAAGCAGAAGGTTATCAATCACATACAATGGGGGAAACTTTACCCTGCCATCCTTACCTCAGTGTCTTCTCGTGACTTTGACACAACTTTGCTGATGGTTCTGTTACGGAACCTATGCGGCTTAACTGCTCCGCCGACTGGCTGGGACGCATTTCCTGCCATAACAGACCTTAGCAAGGAAGCAGACATTGCCCGAGTTAAGTATTTTAGGAACACTGTGTACGGTCACGCTGAGAAAGCTTCTGTTGATGACGTGAAGTTCAATGACTACTGGCGTGACATCAGGGACACTCTGGTCAGACTGGGAGGTGTTACTTATGAAGCTGCCATTGATAATCTTAGAAACGAGTGCATGGACCCTGAAGTTGAAGGTCACTTCCTGGAATTACTGAGTCAATGGAAAAAGGACGAGAACAGCATTAAAGATCAGCTGGACGTAATTACGAAAAATCTTGAAGTCCTGACGTCAAAAGATGAAGGTAAGATACATAAGTAATTTGTAAATTATCATGGATGAAAAGGTTGAAAGCCTATCATTTTTTAATATGTTCGGTAAGAGAGGAGTTTTTCGTTGCTACAAAAAGGAGTCTGGCCCGCCCTTTGACCTTCCCGACTAATACTTTTGACGGACTAGCACTCAGTTGTAGGTGAAATGACATAACAGCCCCACCCTTACCCCATACTTTTTGGATATGAATGACAAATGTGATGCTTTTCTGTACTGATAAAAATGAGGATGCAACATTATTATTTACAACCATTGGGGATTTAAGTGAAATAGTTCTTTCACTGAAGGACACAAAAGAAGAAATGCTCAGTTTAGGAGTCGACCATCAGATAAATATTTCAGATTTTATTCCTTTGAGTGATAGGAGACTTTTAGCTGGGGCGTGAAAGAACAGTTTCACGTGGAGAAAATGATAATAACTAAAATAAAATTTAAATGTTGGGGACTTTGTATAGGTTTTTATCGTAAGACGGAAGGGGGTGGTGCCCACGGTCTGTATCACACCCAGGGGCTTGTTCCATTGGTCATAAAGCGCTACAGCTTATGAATGTTTACAGGAGTGTTCATAGTTTCCAGCCATGCTCTCTTCCTGATGGTTAATAAATTTTTCGTGCCAGATCAAGCTCCTTTTGGAAATCGAGTCCACAGAGAAAACCATGGGAGTTCTATTCTGGGGAAATTGACTGGAAATGTCGATCTGCATAGTGGCCAGGTACGTGCATATCCGTCGCTGAAGCGTCTTATCAGCCATATCTTAGGTTTTATATCATTTATCACTGAGCTGGAAAACGAAATAAACAATTCCAGAATCATTAATTTTAGTTAATACTAAAACAGTAATTGGCTACTCAAAGTCCGAATGTAACGTACTCTGATATTCACCGCCTAGCAACTCGCGCGGGATTTGCCCCCAAAAATATTTTAATCTTTACAAAAATAAAGTTAAAACCATCTTTTTATATTAAATCATCTTACTGTTTTACTAGTACATACTGAAACAACTTTTCAGTTGATTTCAGTGTCGTTGGCTACCCATGGATATTTATACCTCATATCTGCGCAGGTCGTTAAAAGTCCACCGGCCACCTTCACTTTGGTGAATAGCTGTTGACTAGAATTTGTGAATGATCGTGAAATTTAAATTACAAACAGTTTCAATGATCTCAAAGCAAACGAGATCGAAGGGTTCAAACTTTCTCTTTCTTCAAATCAGTTGGATATCTTATTTAATATGAATAACGCTTTAAAAGAAACCAAAATTATAAATGAAATAAATAAATAAATAAACTTTACTCAAGTGTCGTGTAACTTTAGTATGGTATTGCTAATTGGGGACATCGTAACATAAATAAAAAAAAAATAAAAGATATACACTCAAACGTGTGGGAATTAAAAAACTATTATAAACATGCTACTAAGTAATACTAAGTAATACTAAGTAATACTAAGTAATAGAAATATAGAGTTGTGTGTATATAAACAATCTTAAGAATTGTGGGATTATAGTTTAAGAATGACACAGAAAACCGCCAATTGGATATTTCTCGAGCAAAAAACTTTCTGGGTCCATTTATACAAGTAAGTATGCTTCCCTGATAGAAAGTTTTCCATAGTTTAGACGTATTATATCTCGGTATAACAAAGTCTGATGTACGTAAATTGTAATTAGTTTCTATTATTTGGAATAATTCAGAGATGTACTTTGGAGATAGTCCATTTTTGACGTTGAACATTTACACCATTAGGTCTTGCAATCTTCTATTACGCAATGTTGGTAATCCTGCTTTCTTTGATAGCTTTTCGTATGTTGATACTCTTTCCTTGAAAACTCCGCTCTCCGTCCCTTTTCCTGTATCCTCTCCAGTTTCCGCTGAACAGATGCTCTACAGAATAGTTTAGCTTCGGGAGAATTACCGCTTTAAACAGATGTAACTTCGTCTTTTCGGGAACTAGGTGCTTCATTCTCGAGAGGACAACAATTTTGCAATTTGCTTTCTGACAGACTTGTTAAATGTGTGCACCAAAGCTAAGTTTATTATCTATTAGGACTCCTATTGATAGTGTTAAGGAACTCCAATTCAATTTCTTCATTGTTAATGAAAATCTGCGCCTCTTGTGTATTCCTTGCTTTTGAGGCTAGACACAGTGTCTGGAATTTGTCTTTGTTTGCCGGCAGGAAATTATATTTTATATCAGTCGCATACAATCTGAGCCTCGTTGTTTAACAGAGTAGCAATGTTTCAATCAGCTGATGAGAGGCACATATTTGAAGATCGTCTGCGTACGTAGAAAAATCACAGTTGTTAATACTATAACTTAAGTCATTCTGAAACACGTTCCATAGCAATGGTTCGAGACATGATCCCTAAGGGCAGCCTTCTCTTATATCGTGCCAAGAGCTGTTAACTCTAGCAAACTTAACCCTTCCCTGCCGATCTTAGAAATACGATCTTAAGAGAAGCAATGACTCGTCAGAGAAATTACAGGCTTGTAGTTTCTTGATCATAAGCGACGGAAGGAGAGAGTCAAATGCTTTGCTAGTGTCAGTAGAGGTGACCCCCACAAACTTTCCTTTGTCAATGGCTAGTCTCCAATCTTCTACGAATTTTATTAGGGCTGTCTGAAAGCTTTGACCCTTTCTGTAGGTTGACATGTTTTGGGAAAGATGCGAATCCACTTTAGTTACTACTTGCCTACTTAGCAACTGTTCAAAGACTTTGTTTACAACATTTAACACTGTCACGGGCCTATAGTTCTTCTCTATTTTTTCATCTTTCTTGAAAACAGGTACCCAATCCCTTCTCTTCCATCTCTTGGGACAATACCCAGATGTTATTGATAGATTAAAGATTTTGTTAGTGAGGGTGCAAGTTCCTTTGCGGCTAGCTTCAAGATTCTTGGCGGTATTAAGTCGGAACCAGTGGACTTTGAAGGATTAAGACCATCTAAGGCTTTAGCAGTTTCGCCTTAAGAGATCTCTGTAAATGTGAACGTATCAGTAGAAGGCCAGTTGTTTTCAATGTTTGTGACACTTGGATGGCTGTAAAATCGTCCTCTGTTGAATATAAGCTAGATTTACCACTAATATCGTTAGCAAAGGTAGAAAAATAACCAGCAAATCCTTTCGCAACTACGTTTTGGTCTTTAGCTACAGTTCCATTCACATTCAATAACATACAATCATTAGCGGAGGATCGATTTCCGTTTGCCAGAAGAGGTTTGAAAGTTTTGAAGAATTCCCGTGGTTTAGAGTTCAATTCCTCAGATTTTTACTTTAGGGATTTTTTTTTAATTAATTTTTTTAAAATTTAAATTTACTTCTTTCATCCTAAGTTCACATTTAAAGGACGAGTAATTTCCTACAATTCCCGCGGAAGGTTTCACTCTTTTGGAGAACCTTGGGTTTACGACGCCAGTGCCTGTGACATAGAGAGTGGTATCAGCTGTAAGGAACGTGGTTATCATGTCAGGTACGATGCTGTGCAGAATGCTGTGGAGAAACTCAAGGGAATGCTCAAGAGCGAAGGGCTCCTTTACGAGTCGTGATTTGGCATGCATGTTTCTCTGCAAAGTGTAGATCAATTCGAAGCTTCAACATCCCCCGAGCAACCCACCGGCATTTGACCGTCGCCCGTGCCCAGGGTTGGGCAATTTGAACCTTGCTTGGCTGGGGCGGGGATTTTCAACCAGAAGTGTTTAGTCTTTCCAGCAAAACAAACCAGTCTTTAAAAGTTCAGATACCGTGGGTTTACCCGAGGGAGGACGTTGAAGCTTCGATTTGATCGACGCATAAGGAAACTCAAAACGCATGAACGACTTGGGGCCAAACTAGGCAAAAACTCGTAAGAAGCTTAAAGGAAAGACTTAATATAGACTTAGTACTATTTACATCTTATTAAATAAGGCTTAGCATTAATAGTTGCAAGGTTTTCAGTAGATTTCAAACATTTGTTACATTTTACTTAGGTAAGAAAAAAATTATTCAACGAATTCGCAGAACAGGTTTAAAAAGCTGCAAAGATGACATCCATCTCGCCTTACCCGTTCACTATGATTAACTCGACGATCTTTCATGCTTCAGTACTTGACTTTCCAATCCTGTCTTTCCTTAATGTTGCTGCAATGACTTATTTCCTACTTTTTAGCCATTTCTTTCTCAATCGTTTGATTGTGTTGTTCTGTTGTTTCCTCCGAGTTTGCTTTTTTCTGTCCAATGTGTTTTCTTTTGTTTGCTTGTTTTGTTTTATTTTTTTAACAGATTTGATTTTTACGGTTTTTTGATTTGATTTGATTTTTTGTGTGTAATTTGGTCTCTTTGTTGTCTCATATATTTGTTTTAAATTTTACCATTGTTTTTTTATTGGATTTTCATAATTCTTTTGTTTCTTTGCCGTGTTAATTTTTTCTGTTGTTTCTTCAGCCATTATTTTTTTTTAATCTTTCAATGTATTTTGCTTTTAATTTACTTGTGCCCTGAGCACAAGGCTTTTTTCTTTTTGCTTTCTTGTTCTTTGGTTTTTTTTGTTGTTGTTGTTTGTTTGTTTCTGAGCTTTTTTTATTTAGAATTTTGGTCATTTCTTTGTTTATTTTGCTTTAGGATTATTTCAATTTTTTGTGGGTTACCTGTTTCAAATTTGCAACTCAAGGTAAGTGCAATGGGTTGTTAATTTGAAGCACGGTGTCACAATATGACAGCGTACAGGCTTCTGTTCGCTTTAAGTCCTCATTTTAGCTCGTAGGAAGTCAACGAACAATACTTCATAGGAGAAAAAGTCGCTGCTGGAATTTTCAGTATGTCGGCGGTTAGAGCCCGGATCAAATGAGGTCACGTCACTGAAGCAACCAAATATTTTTTCAAATTGATGATCAAATTATGGAAAAGCGAGAAACGTTCTGGATGTCATCTTTGCAGCTTGGCTAATAAACGTAAAAGCTTATGTACAGAAATAGTGCTTTGTTAAAAGAATTGATATTATTTAATAAGATATGATGAAAACATTGGCGTTTTGACTTATGAAAAAGTGCAAAAATCCTTCTCTATATTAGCCAAATATCAACTCTGCAGCTCGTCTTGAAACAACAAGCTTTCATATGAAATAAATTCGCGTACATTTCGAGTTGATGCATGTTTAAACTAATTGTGTCTGATAAAAAAATAAGAAAAATGACTTCAAAGTAACGAAGCAGTCTCAAATCTGTTTCAGCACATACTGAGCTCCAACTTTACAACTAAACTCAAAACATTACAAGCCTATGTGCAGCAACAGAGCTGTCCTGAAATAACTAATTAAATAATATAATTAACATTCAGAAAGTTTGTTCATCGTACTATGTTTAACATAGGAAACTTATTTCTGTTGAATAATTTGTGAAATACTCAACTTAAGTTGTTCATCAAAGCTTTGGATAAACAACCGAATATACTAAAGATAATTGGCTGTGAACTCAAAATGTCCCTGGTTTAGTTACACGAATAAAACATAAAACTTTCGAAAATAGAAAATAGGTTTCAGAATGTCAAAAATAATTTGCTGTATATCGGTAAATTAATATATAGTTATAAAAGCAATAAAAAAAGGAAAAAAAAAGAATATAATGAATTTAAAAGTTAGAGATGTTTGGTGACAAAATCTGACATACCAGGAAACAAATGGTAGAAGAAAAAATGGAGAGTAAAGAAAGTTCAGCCTCCAAGGTACGTTTTCATTCAAATATATCTGTGGCATTTTTTACTGTAAAAGTTTTAATTAGCCATAAATTATTTGATTGACCACGGTTTAACAACCTGCGATTTGTTCTTTGTTGTAATTATCCCCCCCCCCCCTTTATTCCAGCATGTATTTTAGATATCTATACATTGATTACTATCCTGTTCTAGAAGTCTCACCTTGGATATCATTAAGGTACTTTTTGGACTTTGTCATAACAATCCTTTGCTTCATTTCTCTACTGCAAAACATCAGACAAATTTAAGATTAAGATCAGGAGAGGTTAGAAGAGCTTGATTCTTAAGCGCAGGGGGGGGGGGAAGGGAAGAATCTGGCCTACCCTGAGAGGCCTCCAAGCATTTAATCGATAAGCTATATTGTAATCGACGAGCTATTGTAAGTCGAAGGAAAATATGAGCTTAGTATAAGACTAATATACAGCTATCTATCGAGGATAAATAAGTTAATCATAAGGACTACAATTTCGTCAATTGTGACTGGTTTAAAAAACTCCTATTTTCCACAAATTCAAATTCGGATAGTTCAATTAGCAAATCACATTCAAAGTTGTAGTTTAAATCAAGAGCGACAATCAGTCTTTTAATTCAATTTTTCATTTCTTTCATAACTTGGTTTTCTCGGAAATTGTACGACTTATAATTGGACGACTTCGTGTCGTCCAATTCGGTTGTAAGTAATCATGCTCGTCACTGTCGTCCGATTTTTTTATCACTCATATGATTACAGACCGAATTGGATCCCACTCAGTCCTATTAAAATTACTAATTGTACTGAATCGTCTCTGAATAACTTTGCGTATGAGATAATTGTGTTATTTGCTGGTCTAATTCTTCTTTATCTAAATTTTTACCAAAACGGATACAACGAATACTCACAATCACTTAAGAAATGGGCGGAGGAAAAGAAGAGCGATCCAGGAACCTAAAAAGGAAAATAGTACATAGGTGTGCATAGATATGGAATTTCTCTTCGAGTGTTGACTACTCACTGGCTCATGAATGAGACAACAGAATACTGACGAGAAGGAGTATATATCACATTTATCTGCTTAGATATCATTTAGATTACCCATTAAAGAAACATACCAAAACCTAAGAATATTCTTCAATTTCTGGTAGATCTCTTTTCCGAGCCCATACTTGATAGCGCATTTTTCACTGCTTCCGCCATGAACGACAATAAAAAATTATGCGTACCCACGTAAGTGAGAATAAAAGCTTCACAGTATCTGCCAAAAGCAAAAGACATTCTATCGTTGGTAACTGTTGTGCAAACGGATTACATGTTGCAACATCCTTTAGGGCCTATCAAAAAAAAAAAAAAAAAAAAAAGAAAAAAACGTAGGGCGTGATTGGAAAGAGGCTAATGAGACACGAGGTTTGATAATTCATGATAGCATGAGAAAATCGAATTCAGTGATTGTTAATTATAATTATACATTCTTTTTGCACTTAGGACTGAGCTTATATGATTTTGATACTTACGAGATCAATTCTCTCACGGTCTGTTTGAATTCCTTCCTATTTTTGAAATGATCTTTCTTCGGAAGTTTATTTGTATCTATAAAGATGATATCTTTGCCATCTGCCGTTCAAACTCCTGCAAAATAAATTGACCAGAAATTACATGTATTTACATCAAAACTGAGAGGCATCCAGCGCACAAGTCTAAGACCTGACTGACGTGTAATAACATCTTTTCATTTCATCCTTGGTGCCATCAAAAGTAAACTAAAAAAGCGAAAATAAGGCAAGTACAAATGAATGTTCTGGCCTTGGTTTTCAAAACTCAATATGAAACCATAAAGCTTTATTCAGTCCTGGGTATAAATAATTGATGAATCAGTACCCATATTGATTGGACTCTGGCACGTCACTGTCAAAACTCTGAAACTTCGTTCTTTAACGTAAACGAGTTTTTTTCTGAATTTGTCTCAATTGACTTTTAACTTACATCCAACATAGCAATACTAACACTACGTAAAAACACTTACAGTAGTTACCATACAAACAATGCACACTTACAACACTACCCCTATTTCTATTTATACTTATCAATACTCACGTTTATGACTACTTACAAAAGAATTTTTCTCTTAAACTAGCTTACAATAAAAATTATATGATGCTTACCCTACTTGCATCACGAATTTTAAATCAATAAGGAGCTTACTCTATATACTAAAATAGTAATATTTACATTGTACAAGATGAGGTTATACAATTTATGAGAGGTAGACTACAGCACAACAAAGACACAATGCAGATACTTCAGCTTGCTGACTTTATTTAGGTCATCAGCCCTCGTACTTTCCAAGCTACAGTCATGTTATCCCATTACCTTAGCTTACGAGAGAAAATAGATACAGTAGCATTCATTTACACTATAGCAATACAAGGTTAAGTGCGCTCAGTCTTTTCTGTTGCGTCTCTAGAAGCGATTACTGAATCCTCGTGTGTATATTTGGAGTAAACGCGCAAAGTCTCATCCTTTCACATCAGGAAAATGTGAGAAGTTGGACTATGTAAAGTGTGAGGTAATGATCATTTTCTTATAAAAGAATGGATCATGAGGGTCAGTTTATATAAGTTACCTCAGAACTTTTGTCGTCCTCTGATGGTTCATCCTTCACTCTCCACACCACGAGGTTGGAGAAAATTGCCATATCAAAGGAAGTGCTTGCCAATATGGTGAACAACTTTCATTTCCTGATGCTGCCAGCGTAAAAAAAATTGTGAAAAACTGTTCACATGTCAAATTGAGCCGCGAATTAGCTTATTACCCCAAAGGATAAGCGGTCAAATCTGAAAAAAAAAA